GGCTTTAAAACTGATTTGTTTTGTTCCCTGCTAAAACAAAGTTTGTGAATTCAGTTAAATAATTGTTCAAATATATCTGTCATTTGTATGTTTTTAGCTTTCTTCCTGTATGGGAAGCTTTTCAAAATGTGAAACATTAGTGCAGTGGTTTGTGTTAAAATAAACCTTTAGGTTAAGTTGTCGCAAGCAGGTTTTTCTTGTGTTTCTTGTAAATTTGGTCTTAGATTTTTATTTCAAGTGGCATTAAAAAGTCTTAAAGTTTTGAATTTAACTTGCCTTATGCTGTAGGAACCCTGATAGCCACTTGTTCTATTTACCGCCCATCAAAATAATTCAGAAAGGAGGATTCTATTAAAATGTTAGAGCAAATGCTTTATGCACTTTTCAGATTTTGCTCTGCCTCATAATTAGCTGCTGCTCTGTAACCAGCTCCTCTCTGCTTTAAGGCGGGGATTGTGCCAACCTGCTGAAGAACATCGGCCCCCTCCCTGTGGACATGGCCAGGATGTACTTTGCAGAGACGGTGCTCGCCTTGGAATACCTCCACAACTACGGCATCGTGCACAGAGATCTCAAACCAGACAAGTGAGCGCCTCTTCAGCCAAACCAAACATTCATTCCCGTACTTCTCTCTTCACGCCGTCTTCCTCCCTCTCCTGGTAGTTTGTTGATCACCTCCATGGGTCACATTAAGCTGACGGACTTCGGGCTGTCGAAGATCGGCCTGATGAACATGACGACCAACTTGTACGAAGGACACATCGAAAAGGACACCAGGGAGTTTATAGACAAACAGGTCGGGTGCCTCGTCCTCTCAGGGTTTGAGCCTCGGTTCTCAAACTGAGCTCACCTCCCCCCTCCCTCCTCTGTTGTCCTCTGCAGGTGTGCGGCACGCCAGAGTATATCGCTCCTGAGGTCATCTTGAGGCAGGGTTATGGCAAACCAGTGGACTGGTGGGCCATGGGGATCATCTTGTACGAGTTTCTGGTGGGCTGTGTGCCTTTCTTTGGAGACACTCCAGAGCAGCTCTTTGGTCAGGTGGTAAACGGTGAGTCCTTTTTCATTTCTATTAACAGTGATGTTTGGTTACATAAAACAGGGTTTCCGCCGGTCATTAAAAATCATTAAAAGTGTTTATTGGAACATTCAGAAGTTTAGAAATCCTTTTGTAACCAATGCTATAACTTTTTTCTTTATTATTCTTGATACAGCGCTTTACTTTTACCCATTGTGAGGTGTTTCTTGTGTGATACCAGAGACGCCTTTTTATAGGCCGTCATTTGGCTCTGAACCAGCTGATATTAATCTGCACTGATAAGGAGAAGGATTTTAGCTGGTGTCTTGTCTTTCCATGCCCATTTCACTTTATTACACATAACTTAATTTCTGGACATATATGGATTGATTTATATGTATGTGTGGGTTGCATCTGGTGAAAATGTTATGTCAATACCGCCTCTAGAAACATATTTACTGAGAAAAATGGTGCCGTGTTCAGTACTTAATTTACACAATGTATGTCATTGATTCAAATGTGTTTATAGTTGAATTACTTGAACGGAAAAATACATTCCTGGGATTTTTTTTTTTCCCTGCAACAATCGGTGTCTTTGCTTTGCTGATTTTAGATGACATCATCTGGCCTGAAGGTGAAGATGCTCTGCCAGCCGACGCTCAGGACCTGATCACCCGACTGCTGAGACAGAACCCTCTGGAACGTCTGGGAACAGGTCAGTGGCAGCGTGACAGAGAAGAAACCTTTCATCATCTTTTGTTCATATATATATATATATATATACACACACACGCACATTATTTTTCCGTAGATCACAGCTGAACAAATAAAATGAACATTTAACCAGGTGATCGTCCTCCCTCCTAATTAGTCCATAACTTCTCACCTTTTAGTTTTTTTCGTCGCCTCTTTTACTTTTTTCTGATTTACTCTCATATGTGAAAGAACAAACACTCCTAAACCTTCATCCATCATGGTCATACAATAACGCTGAAAAAACAGACTTCTAGTCCCCAATTAATTCCCAAAAAACAAACTTTGTTTTTATAAACCTTTATTTGTACTGTAGCGGGCACTTTAACAATAAGTTGTGGTATGCGATTTTTACAGTGGTGGCTTAAGCCGGGCGTACACTGTGCCATTTTTGGGGCGATTTTCCAGTTGTGCGAGAATCTTTCGAAAAAATTTAATAAGAAGAAATAATTTAATGCGTAGGTTTACTTTTTATGCATAACTCTTGCCCCTCTGAGACAAATCTATGTTTTGCAAGGTCCAAAATTGGGTCAAAAACCTACAAAAAAATAATGTACCAATTTAATAACAGAGTCAGTTTTTGGTTTTAATACCGTATATAAAAACTATTTACTGAGAATGTGTTTATTACGGAAGAGGATTAGGGCCACTGGGGGAAAAAAAAAAGGAAACTGATTTTAAAATTTTATTTCAGTTAAGTATGGGGAAAAAGTCAGAATTCTGACTTTTT